GAAAAACAACCCTCAGACTTCACAGAGCTCTGTTCCCCAAGCATTCTTGGATTTTACAACACTGCCCCGCCAGGCATTACTGAACGGAGGGCAGGCTGCAAGAGTTTTCCTTTCCACAGAGGTAGTTCAAATCCTCTAGGACCGAGTCACTGCCCTCAAAGGTAAAGTTATTGACAAACCTGAGATTTATCACTGAGGGTCAAGATTAAGGGAACCTTCGGGTCATAGGTTGCTTCTCTAGAAAATTCATCTCATGAAAACCAGGAAGAGAAAAATATGCCAGTGGCGTGGACTGAGATGGGAACGCCAAGGTCCACAGCCTTGGCAAGTCCACATTTTTCCTGCTGTCACAAACATCATTTCGATGTTACCCCTTTAGCAAAATCTGAACAGATTAGGGTGGGGGACCCAGAGTTAGCAAGGAACGTGAAAGAGTGGGCAAAGAAGAAAAGAGCCGGGCCGAGTTTTTACAAGCTCTGAAAATCATGGCTCTGCCATTAGTAGTGTTTTTCAGCTTTATGGAGGTATTATTGACAAATAAAATTGTAATATCTGTAAGGTATACAATGTGGTGATTTGAGATACATATACATTGTGGAAGGATTCCCCACGTCGAGTTAATAAGCACATCCATCACCTCATATATTTATCCCTCCTCCCTTTTTCGGTAAGAACATTTAAGTTCTACTTCTTAGTAAATTTCCATTATAAAACACAGTATTATCAACTACAGTCACCGCATTATAAATGAGATCCTTATTTGTCTTACCACCAAAAGCTTGTACCCTTGCGCCAGGCTCTCCCTATTTCTCCCGACCCCCACTCCTGGCAACCATTATTCTGCTCTCTGATTCCGTCAGCCTGACTTTTAAAAATTTCTTTCATTTTCTTTTTCTTTTCTTTTTTAAGATTCCACATGTGGCCTAGTTGGTTGGAGTGTCTTCCTTACACCAAAGTGTGGCAGGTTCCACTCTAGTCAGGGCAGGTACTCAGGGTGCAGATTTGATCCCTAGTTGGGGTGCATGTGGGAGGCAAGTGATGGATGTTTCCTTCTCTCTCTTTCTCTCTCTCTAAGATCAATTAAAAAAAAAAAAGGCTCCACATGTGATACCATGTAGTATTTGTCTCTCTCTCTCTGGCCTATTTCACTTAGCATAATGACCTCCAGCTTCATCTATGTCGTTACAAAAGGGAAGAATTTTCTTCTTTTTTAAGGCTCTCTCTTTTTACTCTCTCTCTCCCCCCATCTCTCTTTCACCTGGTGATTAAATTACGTATTGCCCCAAGAATTAGTATCTCAGATAGCAAGGATTAATTTTACCTCTCACAAATCTGTGTCTGGGCCTGGCGTCTCGCCAGTCTTGCTCAAGTTATTCTCATGTGGCTGTATTCGTGTGATGGGCCAACTGGAGCTGGGGAGTCTCACATGGCTTCACTCACACATCTGGGGCCTCGGTTGGCCAGAAAGTTGGGATATCTCTCTCTACATGGTTTGTTAACATTCAGTCATCTAGCCCAAGCTTCTTTACACGTTGGCCATGTTCCAAGATGGTGAGAAAGTCTCTTAAGCCTTGGGCTATAGAATTTCTGCCTGTTATTTCCTCCACACTCTATTGGTCAGAGAAAGTCACAAGGGCAGTCAGACTCAAGGGACAAGTAGATTCTGTCGCTTGATTGCAAGAGCAGCAGCATCACATCATAAAGGCTGGGCCCGGAGAGTCATGATTCGTTGAGGGCCACTATTATAATAATAGGCACACCAGGAATGGTTTTCCCCTTCACTTGGCTACTTCATGTTTATCGTATGGGCCTCAGTTTTTAGGGGCTTTCTTTTTGCACTCCTATGATCTTCTGGGCTATAATACCAGTTATAGCCCTTATCACAGTCTCTGAAATCACCTGCTTCCATGTGCGTCTTCTATAGATCACGAGCCTACCATTTTTATCTTTAGGGCATGGCTCAGAGCCTGGTATCTGGGAGCAGTTCACTAAATAAGTGCGTGAGGTTCAAAAAGTTAAGGCTCTTCTCCAAGGTTATACAGAAAATAAGCTCTCGTGTACCACTGGGGAGTCGTCCCTCAGGAAAGGAAGGCATTATATCAATGTTTTAATAATAATGGTTAGCACAAGGGAATAGCCTTCTCACGTTGGCTTTTAAGAATCAATGAGTGCCCGGCCGGGCGTGCCTCAGGGGTTGAGCATCGGCCTAGGATCCAGGCGATCAGGGTTTGATTCCTGGTCAGGGCACATGCCCCGGCTGCGGGCTGCAGCAGATCAGTGACTCTCTCATCATTGATGTTTCTATGTCTCTCTCTCCCTCTCCCTTCCTCTCTCTGAAATCAATAAAGATATATTAAAAAAAAAAAAAAGAAAGAATCAATGAGTAATTTTAAAAGAAGTCTTTATCATTGCCAGGTTTGTCCTGCAGAAGAGATCGTCTATTCGGTGGATGAGAGCTGGAGCAGAGTTTTACTAATCAGTGTGGCCTAGGGACGAGGACCCCAGATGCATCAGATTGTGCTTGTTCACAAGACGCCCAGGAAATGCCTATGTGCTTTGGAAGTTCTGGAGCACTGGCTTAGAATATATTCCTGAGTGCTCTTGCACACTTCCTGCAGCAGGGACTCTTCAGAGGCAGCCTCAGAAGCAGCCTTACTCTCCGAAGTAGGTGAGATGCTATTTCTCAGCGAATAGACACCAGATTTCCAGGGTGACTTGAATTTGATTCTCTTGGGTTTGCTTAGTTTGCATACAAGCAAAGCATTGGTACCGGGCTTTTTCCTGAAATTTCTCAGTGGAGCCCTAATGGGGGTATTTGTTACTGAAACGTTGACATGATGTTTGAGCTGTTTGAGCTTATACTGAACTTTGCAGTATTTAAATAATAACAAAAGAGTAAGTGTGTGTCATGTAGGGAGACCTGGTAGTTCCAACCTTTTAACTGCATAGGGAAGTGTTTTTCAATGTAACTTTCTTTTAAAGAATGAGGCAGGTGAGTGTGCTATTCATGATAACTGGAGAAGAAAAACACAAAACCACAGCTATGGGAAGGTATGAAAAGAGATACAAGCAAAGCTTATCTAAATTTAACCAGGATTTTATTAAGTATTCAAAAGTAATCACTTCCCATGTAACATCTGTAATTCAAACCAAGACTGTCAGGTAACAATCCATTAAGTTGTGTATACCTGTTATTCATATTCTATTATTTTATATTATAATAATTACTATTATTGTTTAAATAGAAGGAGCATATTGCAAAGTCAAAGGTTAATTTGAATTTCTACTCTAAACAAGTTGGATTTTAGGGGGGTGCGTGTATGCATTTGGACGCATTTCTGTGTCTGTATGCTGAGCCTCCTTTGGATCAATCTCTGTGAATAATCTCTTCAGGAACTCCATCAACTTCAATAAGACTTGGGTTTTCCAAGGTAGAAAAGGTACTATTTCTTACTGGGAAATTCCCTGAGCTGGGGACGATCCTTTACCCCCTTAAAGGCTTTGCTGGTTCAATAAGGAACATTGAAAGTATCATCAAAGCCGGCACAAACCCCTTATTTGCATATCTTTCTTGGTGGCATCCTGCCAATTTGCTGGAGTTGCCCAAATGTTGAGCAGCCCAGTTTACTCAGCATATTAAGGGTTAAATGACTAATTCAGGAGCTGGTATGCAGTTGGGGAAAGGTTAAAGTCAGAATAAAAAATGCCAGGCTCAGGCTGGATGCCTGTCTTTTTTCTATAACTGGTCAAGCAGTCCTTGAAATGCAGGCAATCTAGAGCATGATTCTCAAAGTAGAGCCAGTAGCAGAATCCCCTGGAGAGCTTATTAAACAGATATGACTGGGTCCCACTCCCTGAGTTTCTGATTCAATAGATCTGGAGTGGGCTTGAGGACTTGTATTTCTAACGACTAGGTGATGCAGATGCTGCTGGTCTGGAATGCACAATTTGGAAACAACTTGTCTAGAGTTTGATTTACTGACAATGCCCCAAAAGTGAAGAGATTCTTCTGAGATCATTGCTAGGATATTCCAGAGGTCTTCTTTCTTTATTTTGTTCTGATAAGCAAGATGATGTGATGGTAAGAGCATGATTTTTTAAATCAAGTTGTTCCAGTTCAACTCCTAATTCTAGTATTTACTAGGCTAGGTAATCAAGGGCAAGGTGCCTAATATATTTTGCCTCAATGTTCTTATCTGTCAAATGGAGACATTAATATCTAATACATATTTTGTGCAGATAAAATAACATTAATATATTTAAAGCACAATGTTTTGCATTTATGAACTGTACCATAAAAATTCTTAATTATTATTAGTTACTATTACTTATGCCTACATAAATGGATCGTTCCTAAAAGCTCCCTCAGGGCAATCAGGGCAGGAATGTACCTGCTATTCTAAGAGGCATGTCATATAAAAACTCAGTGTTCAGCCCTATTGCATAAATCAATTGAACTCAATTCATTTCAATAAATTCTTATAGAGTGCCCATTCTGTGCTGGAGACCATGCTAAATATTGGGCAAATATCTAACCACTTTTGACTTTCATTGTATTAGTTATCTATTGCTGCATAACAAATTGCTCCCCAAATTCAGTGGCTTAAATAAACATTTATTATCTCAAAGTTTCCGTGGGTCAGAAATTCAGGAGTGGCTTGTTGGTGACACTTCTGGCTCAAGATCTCTCATGAGTTTGTAGTCAGAATGTCTTCTGTGGCTATAATCATCCGAAGGCATAACTGAAGCTGTGAGATCTACGGGTAGCTCTGACGAGTTAGTGCTGGTTATTGGCAGAAGACCTCGTTTCTATCCCACATGGGCCCCTGCATTGGGATGCTTACTGTCTTTATAACATGGCCCTTGGCTTCTCTCAGAGCCAATGATCCAACAGGGAGCAGAAAGTAACACACAGTGCCTGTCATTACCTGGCAGGGGGAGGAGAGAACTATACAAAGGTGTGAATACCAGGAGCGGAGACTCATTTGTGCCATCCTGGAGACTGGCTACCATACAGTACACCTAAAGTTTAGGTGGAGTGATATGTCTACTAGTAAATAAGTGTTCTCAAAGATGGGACGGAATAAGTCATCAAGTGGAGCTGCAGATTGCATGGGAAGAGGTTGGTTCTGGCCAATAAGCAGATGCTTTGTGTAAGAGGAACATCTGATTTGGGCCCCGAAGGCAATGTTGAGGAAAGACACACCTGAGGGAGGAACAACATCGGGTTAGGAAAAACAAAATACTCATGGAAAACAGTGAAAGCAATTTGGTTAAATTCCAGACTCCATCTGTGTACCTGTCCTCGCTTGATGGTCCTCTACAAAACATACAGCCTTGCTCGCAATCCCTGTTTATCGCACCGAGGACTCAGTCTGGATCCTTGATGATTTAGCAGCCCTATATAACAAAGACATAACAGCTGGAAATGGGGCTTCCAACCAGACAATGGGAGAGTCTCTGTTCTCTACACTTCAATAGCTTTTATGGTCTGTATACCCATAAATAGGGTGACCATTTGTCCAGTTTGTACAAGACCCTCTTAGTTTATGCTTGTTATCCTTGTGTAATTAATAACTTCTTTCACTTTAAAAAATGTCCTGGTTTGGACAATAAATTGTATTGTCACTTGACCAACATAGGAACTGGGTGGGATGAGTTTTCTCATCATAGAACTAAGCTCTAAGTATCCTGAAGACAGATACTGCAAATTAACTTTCTTGTATTCTCCAATACTAGGCCAATACCTTGGTTAGAGAGGGTGTTAAAATAAAGATTTGTCATTGATTGGAATCAAATAAGCCTTATATAGAGTGTCAACACATTCCCAAAGTTACCCATATATTGTAAGTATCCGTGGTGAGGAGAGAATGGGAAGAGAAAACAGTAGAAGGCCACTAGTGGAGAAATGATTCATTGAGCATTTAAGGGGTTAAAGTAGTTCTTCAAGCTCTGGGTGTGAACTACATATTGTCTTAATAATACCTCTAATACCTGTGCATTTATATGAGCAGAACAAGTGAAAACCTGCCTTGCAGAAATTAGATTAAACAGTTGAAGGAGACAGTCATTTTAATAAGGAGCTTCTATATAAAAACCCCTGGTACTTCATTATCTATTTATTCCTCTCAGTCACTCAATTTTATTTTATCCTGCATAATTAAAAAAGAGACAAAACCAAATCTTTAAAAACTGATCCAATGCCACTGTGTTTTGTGTAAACAATATTGGTTGGATGTAGTTCAGTTTGTCGACGTTCACGGCCTGCTGCTATTTTTTCTCCCTTCACCCCATCTTTATGCGTCCCTCCCATGAGGTCTTTCACAGCTTTATGGGGGGGGGGATATCTTGTGATACAGAGGCTATTATAGAGTTATGCTCACACATAGAGAATTATACCATTGCAGCATTTCAAAGATGAGGCAGGCAGCCCTAACATTTCCTTTTTTTATCACATTCTGTACTCCCTTGGTGCACCATATTTATTGGTACGAGACAGTGTTAGCTACTCGCTCATTCCCTGGTGCTCTCACAAGTCCCTTGAACAAACTTTCGTTTGGAGGCTCTGCTGTAAATTTGATTCAGTGTGACGTTTCTCGGAAAGCTGTGATAAATGTTGTGCAAGGGTGTCGATATTAAGATGACACCTGGCTCCCGTGCCCCTCAAAAAAGAAGACTGCATTTGTATACAATGCATATATATTTTCCCTAACATACATTAACCCATTTAATGAAAACTACACAATGTCCAGAGAGAGACCCCAGACAACCAAAGCTGAACACTGAACTTTCTGGCACATGGTTTTCTTAAGTGAGTAATATAAAGCTCAAAGCAATTCAATAACTTTATTTATACAATTTTTGTCAGTAAGAAATTATGAAAGTTAAGACAATTACAAAGTTTAAGGCATTAAGATCACTGTCATTTAATGTGGAGTTTGTAAAACGTTAACATGCAGTTAAGAGAGAGAGAGTTCATACCTTTAGACTGGTCTTTAGGTTACAACCCAGGCCTTATTTGTTTCTTTATATAGTATCATGATCCACAATTGTTGTTTCCTGTGCACTGTCTTTGGTTTGGAACATTTATGTGCCCACTGAATACAAAAAGGGGAGATTGTGTAATGTAATCCTTAAATAGACTTGATATGTGAAGAGAGAATAAATTGAAAATAATTTAGCCCATGGGTAAAACTGTAAGTCTCAGCTTTTCATCGAAATTTCCTTAATTGTGATTAGCATGTATTACCACCCATTTTCTATTTACTTTTTCTCTAGGGTTCTAGGAAATTAGGAATGAATAGATATTTAAAAACATTGAACGGAGTGTGAGGTAGAAGGGATCAATGGGAAAAAAAGGGGACATCTGTAATACTTTTAACAATAAAGATAAATTTTAAAAAAACAATTCGAAATCAGAAGAAACAACCATTAATAGTGATGACAGGGAGTGGATTCCTGGGTCACATGGTAAGTTTTGGAAAATTGCCACACTGTTCCCCAAAGTGGCAGCACCATTTTACCTTCTTTCTAGCAGTACACGAGGTTCCCAATTGCACCACATCCTCACCAGCACCTGGTATTGTCTTCTTGATTCCAGTCATTTTAGTGTGTAATGTGAGTACAAAAAACTCATTGTGATTTTAATTAATTTAGTGACTAATGTTTTGAATGTTTTTATGTGCATATTGGCCATTTGTATATCTTCTTAGTGGAAACATCTATTCACATGCTTTGCCCATTTTCAAAACTTGAGGCTTTGTCTTTTTTTTTGAGTTGTAAGCGTTCTTTACATATTTTGAATACAAGTCCTTTATCAGAGATGTAATTTGCAAATATTTTCTTCTAGTCTGTGGCTTGTCTTTGAAATTTCCTAATGGTGTCTTTTGTAGCATAGAAGTTCCCACTAATTTTAAATGCATGCTTTTTTAAAAGAACTGTGTCATCAGATATACAAAATTACTTTCTTATTTCTCCAGCTAAATAGAGTCAGAAACTACTCTATTGCCTCTATTTCCATCATTTCAAGTACTTGAGGGGGTGCATCAGATTATTATTATTTTTTACTTATTCAATATCTACTCTGGACCAGGCTCTGTACAGTAATTCTTTCTAATTCTCACAGTTACCTTGCAAGGGAGGTGTTATGACTCCTATCTTACAAATAAGGAAACCAAGGCTCAGGAGGCTTAGCAACTTGTCCAAAATTAAAAGGGAAGAGCCAGAAGCTGGATTTGAATCCAGTTCTGTATCACACTAAACCCATGCTTCCTGGATGATCCTAATACTGGCTTTTTCGGGGGCGGCAAAGTCACAAGTCTTCCATAGTTGGAAGCAAGAGCTGAAACCTTAAAAAGTTTTGGTTGTGCCCTGTCCTTGGTCTAAGGGAGTTGGGGAAACAGCTCCCCATTTCTTTTCTGCCTCTTCGTCTGCTAGCTGTAAAGTAGCCCGTTAGTCATCACAGCTAAAAAAAAAAATACTGTTTTATTTCAAACAGTTAATATTCATCAAATGTTAATGAAAATACATAACAAATAATTACAACAAACACGGTGTCTGATTAAGATGAAAGGGATGACAATCCTGTGAATTTTTAATCTGAAAAATAAAGAATGTTACATTAATAAGCCTTAATTATATCATTAAATATTTAAAATTTCCTTCTTTAATAGATTTTATTTTTATTTAATATATTTCTTTTTTAAATGTCTATAACACTTTCATGAGATTGGTACATAAAATCCTCTCAACTGTTATGGCAAAAGAGAATTTTAACTTAATATATTCATCATATCGATTCACAACTTCCACTTTATTTATTGTTCAGAAAAGCTAATAACCCTTTTACACTTTATTATAATTGATATTTTCTCCACACAAGAGTGATAAATAATTAATACCATTACAGGGACATCATGTGCGGTACACTTATTTGGGGAAAAAAAATACAACAAACCATTTGAGTAGAGTAGTGTATTATACATTCCATTTTAATACTCTACACTTACAATTAATGCTACATTTTACAGGAAAACATAATTAACTTTGGGAATCTGTCTTGCAATGACCACATTTAGGCAGCTGAAGCTAAGGCAGGGGATCTATTCTAAGCCAGCTCTCTGGTTTTTCCACATTTCAGCTGCTTCTGAAGGATCAGGAAAATTACACACCTATCACCACGTCTTTTCACACCTTGGGAAAGGTGGTTATAAAATGGGACAGGATGGTCTTTTAGTCTTGTGCTCTCTACACAAAAATTGAATTTGATTTTTAATTTTTGCTCAGTTTTTATAATTGTGTTTTAATGAAAAAGCAACATTTCTCTCAGAATTGCTGATGTGATAATTAAATTCATTTGACCTTTCTCTCCCACCATCCCAAGAAGCCTTTTTAGGGAGGAAGAAAGTGTAGCCATTGCTTATGTTGCTATGGGTGACTTGACTGTTTATATCTTCCAGGGAGCCAATGGAACCAAGTTTCAGGCATAGAATCTGTATATCTGGGTCGAGATGCTAGTTCTGCCTCTTTCTAGCTTTGTAGCTTAGGCCAAGTTCCTTTAGCTCCCTGAACTTTAGTTCATTCCTCCTAGATTGTGAGCCCCATGAGAGCCAAGACCATGTCAGTCTTATTAATTTTATTCCTCAGGCAGTGTCTGACCCATGGTGATCTTCAAATATATTTGAGAATGAATAAAGGAATAAATGATGCAGTTATTGGATTGTAGAACTCTCAGGAATAAGGGGAATTCGTTGAGAATTTTATGTGATGAAGTCGATGAGATCAGATCATCCAATTAGTCAGCTCTGATTCTGTACCAGTGGCCCAGAAAAGCTCAATCATGCACAGTGAGATCAACCAGTAACAAGGAAGCCTGGACTATCTGGTCCAATCCTGGGCAATTTCTGAATTTATTTGTATCCTGGCCTCTGACTGTGACCCTTATCATGTGGACACTGATGGTCACTGCTCTTAGATCCCATGAACCTTGTTCTAGTTTTGGGTGCCTTTTCTTCAGCTTCTGTGTGTTTTTTCCTTCTCAGGACTTGTGCCTGTGAGAGACTCACTTTGGGGGCTTGACTGCGGGCACACTGAAGTCGCTTTGCCCACACTGACAGACTGTTGGCCGCGCCCTGGCCTCCTGCTTCCTTCTCCCACCAGCAGTGGCCTATCCTCAAGACTGACTGAACAGAACAGGACCGTAAAAGCCCAGTGCGACTGCCAAGAACTGGGTAACTTACACTCCAGAACACTCCTGTGAGATCAGCCTGAGGCTGGGACCTTTCCTGAAATTGTACCTTGAGTTGCAGCGTCTCCTGCCCTCCACACTGTCATCGCTTCCTGGAGGCATTTCCTGGATAAATCCTTTGCACACAGATTCTCATTTCAAGGCCTACTTCTGG